TATAAAACGTTTAAACAAATTTATGTTACAATTATAGAAAATGAAGCACACTTTTGTGTGTCACAACTTCAAAAGTTTTACAATAATGTATGTAAGCGTTAATGGTCTATGGGAAATCGAAGAAAAAAAATAAAAGAAAAAATTATTTAAGGATGTGTATAGAGAGTCCATCTAACATAATCAGAATTTAATCAGCAAAACAGTAGATATTTTAGTATTTTCGACTTGGATAAAAGGCTAAAATAACAAATAGTCAAATATAGAAATTCTAGATTGTTAATATTTTAACCGATTTGTGAGCTTTCAAATTTCAATACTGCAGCTAGAAAGCTTATGGCTCTTGAAAACTTGTTGGGCCCCAAGGTACATTTTGAATTTTTTAGATAAAGAGTTTTTTTAAAATATTTTAATGCTTGTGATTTTCAAAATTTTTATTTTTCTACATATTTCGCGACTTTTAAAGCTTTCACCAATTTTCAAAAGCTTTCATAAATTTTATAGCCGCCTTAAATGATTTATGATTCTTAAAGCTTTCACTATATTTCTAAAGCTTTCATAAATTTTATAGCCGCCTTAAATGATTTATGATTTTTAAAGCGTTCACTATATTTCTAAAGCTTTTACGATTTTTAAAGCTTTCACTACTTTTATGTTTTCTTGGGCTTTTAAATATTTTTTACACAAGCAGGATATAAAAACTTTTGATAAAGCATGTGAGCATGTGTGAGAACGAAATTAGATAATGAATATTAATGAACATATTGAAATACTCATGATTTCTACAATTTTTATGATTAATTTTGCTTTCACTAATTTAGAAAGCTTTCATGAACTTGGAAGCTTTCACAAATGATGTACGGTCTTTAAGAATTTCAATATTTTTGTAAACCTTTTTTAAAAGATTTCATTATTTTGAAGCTTTTATTTCAACTTGACTGCTATACGGAAGAAGGGTTCGTTTTATAAAAGCTTTAAATATAAGAAATAAATTTTAAAATCATGAAGGCTTTTACATATTTCACATTCGCATTTTGGCTAGTCTTTCCTATGGACCCTTGGTAAATATTTTATATACTTGGCAAGAATTTTGTACAACACATAATGGTGCCAATGTTGGTGGAGTAATGTCAAGCTTTCACTATTTCATTTCACTATTCTGTGTCCCACTTGCAATTCGAATCCTTTAGTATGTATTCCTTTGGGATGGTGGTATGTGACAATATTATTCCCATATACATTTATGTGATTGTGTGTGACTGTGTAACACTAACTACTTTTGCTCCATTAGAGCTTGTCGAATACATAATTTTGCAAATTGTTTAAGCCACCACTTGAATAGATACAAACTACAAGGATATATGCTACATGTACTATGTGTTGTAAGTAATATGATAAAGCTTTACAAATTGCGCTAGTTGTCCGGATATTTAGACGCTTTTGTTTTTGTAACTCTATACATATTCATAATATGAATAACGAGCCGTATATTGTACGAATGCGCTTAACGCTCGAGTTACGTCCGATAAATAAGAGTGGACTAACAAATTGTTGGCTTGTAATTTATGTTTATTTTAAAGTACGAATATTTTATGGCTTTTTGTTATGGAAATTAATAAGCTAAGGGATTTAAACTCGCATGGGTTACAATTGCTACGTACTAAAGACGAGCCTGTGTTTGGTTTTATACTGAGAGCAATATGTATAGCTACTTTTATGCCACACTGTAGCATGTGTAGTCACTACATTTGCGCTTTTTGTCGGCCAAGCGCATGTGTGCGGTCAGCTGCACTGTAATTATAACCTTTTTCAATAGGGGATCATTGCAAATTGAGGTTGTGTCGAAATTGGAACAGTCAATTTATGCAAACTGTACTATAAATGTGTGTAATTGATTATATTTTGAGTGCCTTGGTATGGCAACGGATATTCATAGGAACTCACATGCTACAAATGACAGAATAGTGCTGGGTTCTTTATTCGAAAAGAATGTGTATAATTAAGTTTATAGTGGCTAACTAAATGTTCTTTTTCAAATAATACATTTATTGGGAAGCTTTTGAAACTAATGGTAAGGATAATCAGAAAGAGGGAGGGGCATCATAATGTCGGAAGTCCAATAATTGTGCTTGGAACCCTTGAGCTTTCTTTCCGTAGTTCAATTCATAAACATAATAAAGATGAGACTTCCTCTATACTATTTTTCCAGTTCAAAGATGATTCAAGAAAATTCTTTTTTTGTAATTTCTAAAGTTTTCATGGTTTTTCAAAATGTTACAAAAATTGAGTTCTTGTTTTGTCAAGCGGTCAAATATGCTTAAGAGCTTTAGAAATCATAAAAGCTTTTAAAAAATGGCGAAAGCTTTACAAAAATGTAAGAAGCTTTAAAACCCAGTAATTATTTATTAGAGCATACACATTTGTGTAAGCTTTTAAAAATTAGTAAAAGCTTTTGAAACTGTAAGAAAAATTTTAAAACTCGTGAAAGCTTGAACTTGAATGCTTACTATAACCTTTTCGAAGAAAACTTTGTGAAAAAAAGTAATAAAGTGAATAAAAAATAATATAGAAAAGAGACTACTTATTCTAGAATTAATGAACACGTCTGAGGAAAATCTTTCTAGAAATATGAATGACTAGAAGTTTCGGATAAATAAAAAAATTTACGTCTAAAAGCTTGACTCGATTTTTGAGATCAATCCGCTAGGTTTAACTTATTTTCATTTTATATAGCCCCTCTAAATTGTTTAACCCTTCAATGTTTGCCAACGTACTGAAAATGGGCGTATATCTCATTAATGATTCGCCCCAAATCTTTCACCGATGCGTGATTTCTTAAATGTTTGAAACTAAAAGTAGTCGTAGGTCTCTAAAATTAGAAAATTTTCTTCTTAGGAAATTTTCTAGTCTCGACTTCTGTCCGCAGTCTTTATATGCTCCTCAGTGGAAGCAAATACATACCATATTAAGACGGGAAAACCTCCAGTTTAGTTCATTTTGTTCAAAAGCTCCCAACTTTTTACTTATTCAGAGTTGTAATAGTATTTTGATTGGACATTTTTCTCAGTAATGATTTTCCAATTTTATGTTCTCCGCAGTGAATCCGATGTTCAATTGCCTCTGGTAGTCACCACATAACCACATTTATAAAAGTAACACAACATGCCACATATTGTGTGTTGCAATTTAGGCTTTTGTCTACACAAATTTGTGGTTAAGTATTGTAGCTAAACTTGTATTTACAAAAGTACGTACTATATTTCACAACTCATCGTGGTAATTTATTTACAAATGCTCACTCAACTCGAGCTCAAGGCTCCAGCGTCAGCAGTTGGCACAAGTAAAAGTTAACGTTGCATGCGATGTCATGCGACTGACTGCATTTAAATAAATTCTCCCTTGACTGGCTGTGCGGTGCCACTAATACCCGACAATTAGTCAGAAAAGTGAAAGTAATTTCCTTTCACTCATGCTGCGCTGGCAATATCAGCTTCTACTATTTTCAATTTAGATTTATTATCGCAATTTATTTAGGTCGCACACGTTTGCATATCTTTATTTTTATGTACATTCCTTTCATTTATTGCTTTCTTGCTATTACTTTTATTATTTATCGAGTGTTTTTTTCACTCACTCACTCGCTAAAGTCCTCTTCGCCTGTCACTTGACTCGCTTTTTCTTCTCTTCGCTTGTTAGCTAGTTCGCAAACCAACCAGCCATTAGTAGCGACAAATTGCTTGACATTCACCAGGTACATTGCGTAAATTTCGACACGATTAACATAATCAGTCGAGTGTATGCAATAAAAGTGCTCGCCTGCCGTGGCTGCGCCCGTATGCGCCAAATGTCAGACAAGAAAAAATGCCGCTACTTCGCCTACATACCTTTTTGCTTGCGCTCATGCTCATGAGTCGCGAAGTTTCGCAGCAGACAAAGCCACCTTAGCTAGCGTAGATATACTTAATCTACCTTTTGCTATTTTGTCACTTTTCGTTGCATCTTCGTGCGTCCGTCTGCCGTGACTCGTTAATCTCTCAGGCAGCTATAGCTAGTCTGCCTTAAAACAAGCTTCATCGTAATAATCGCATGCTCTAAATTTTCGCAACATTTACATATTTTGTCTGGCTTCGCCGAGCTTGCCGCAGTTCTTGCACCTTTTCGTCGTCTGTGTCAATTTTATCAAATTCGCGTTGATTTGTGTGCTTCTGCTTCATTTCGATATGTAGCTGTCACCTACTTATCTCTTCTCTCTCTGGCGTATCCTGGTTACTTGACACTCACACTTAACTGTTGTATATATATGCCGGTTAGTAATGAGATTACTAAAACACGTGCCGTCAATTAGTAATCGCTAACGGTTGACGTTTGTTATGGTGCATTCTAAGACTGTACTCAATGCAGAGTTGCTTTGCGATACGTGCGATAAAACATTTGTCATAAAACATAAAATTGCTTCAGTTGTGTGAAATTTAGTGATAAGCTGATAAATTCTCTTTGTGGAAGAGAAAATTTTGAGAACAAGAGACATTTTTAATTCGCTTCCCGAATAGTTACCAGACTGCGATTGAAACCTCTCGGTAGTCACTTTTTCAGTCATCAGTAGTTCATTTTCAGCGAGCCTGACAAAGTTGCCGAGATTGATATTAGGTGTCTTAACAAATTTTTCATATCCTTGAAGCACTTTGTCGATTTGTAAGGGTCTGGTGATACATATGTAGGAGTTTTGGGAATCTCAAGGGGCCAGCTTTCACAACCGTTCAAGTGGGATTCTGTGTAACCTTTGGTGCGAGGTTCAGCCTCACGACCTAACCTATATCAGGCTTCCAAGTGTCAAATAGCTAGTTTCCTACCGAACAGATTTAACATGTTACAATATTTCTTCTATTAGTTATCTTATACGGTATTAAGTTTAGAATCGAATATAGTACATTATATAATAGAAAAATATATTTTTTTTGCCTCTACTTACATTGTCTCCGTAATTTACTCTTCACTCTCCGCAGGCGATCTCCTGCCGCATCCCTGCTACAATGTTAAATGTCCGCCGATGTCCGAAATGACCTGTCCACCGGACAGCAGTCTGCGCGAAATGCTCAACAGCATCGAAGTGCAACAGATCACCGCAGCGCCCACCAATGCCGCCGACGCCATGATCTACAATACCACCGAAATCGATGAAGACATCTATGCCGAGTGCTGTCTGACCAAAAAGTGCATCTGCAAGACCTGCTACATACCCGACTGTCATGGTGAAGATGAAGTGGTAGTCGAGCTGTTGCCCGAATCGATGAACAAACCCGGTCAATGTTGCGGCGAGTATGAATGTCAGCAGAAACCGAAGTGCACAGCGGACGATGATAGCGAACTGTATTGGTTGAAGGGTTGTCAACGTTGCCACTGTTTTGCGGGCAAACCCATGTGCATACAAATCTGCGATGAGGCCGTGAATAAGACCAAAGCCATTTGCAAGCCAGAAAAATTGAATGCGCTCTTTGAGCATGGCGAAAGCTGGCGTGTCGGCTGCTATGAATGCGAATGCATCGATGGCGTTGAGAAGTGCGTGCTGCCATTCTGCAGCAATGTGGATTGTCCGCAGGAACGTCAAGTGACGCTGAAAGATGGCTGCTGCCCTATTTGTTGGCCCGATTGTGCGCCAATGCCAAAGGAACTGCTTAGCGGACGCAATAGTGTGCACGGTAAATACGGCAATAGTCCACGGGCTTACGATGACGAGGAGGAAGATGATGAAGGTCTGGCTGACGATTTCGTTGATGATCCAAATAGTGCCCCACGTAGTTTGGATTATGCTGGCGAAAATGAAATTGATCCATTGTCAGATATACAGTTGGGCGAAGCAGCGGCAGCGAAGCCACCGCATAACACAACCGCAGAAGCGCAAACCACTACAAATGCCGCCATCTCCTTAACAACAACAACCACAGTAACAGTCAAAACCACCGCCAGCCCTGCAAGCCAATCGAGCTCCACTTTAGCTCCAGCCGAATACTTGCCCATAGCGCCAACCACGGCAGCAGCTTCTGAATCGCCAGCCGTGGCGCTTGCCAGTGAACCTGCCATAGCCACAGCTTGCCCGCCTGCTCTGGCTTCACGTCACGATGTCCAGGCCTCCTTCCAGCTTTACCCCGATGAAGACGACGTCATGCCGGCAGTTAAAGTCATCTCTGAATCGTGCAAGCATTGGATGATTTATATTGTTATCGGCATTTTGGTCGCCTTCATTGCGGTGCTGATAGCTTGGATTATACAGTTGCGGTTGAAGCAGCGCTCCTATCGACCGGTCTCGCACATCGACGACAATTTCAATAAGATGTCCTGTAATATCAAGCAAACAAATGCTTATGTTTAGATGCAAGAGAGTAATATACTTATATGTAATGGAAAGATACGAGTGTGAGAACGTAAAACTGTTTATACAGAGCAAATATTTATATGGGTGTTCTTTCGGAGCCTGATTCACGGCAGTAAAATTTAGTGTAACGTTTAGAACAATAACAACGATATAAAGTTTTAAGATTTCTTAGATGTTAGAATTATAACCTCATTTTTACTCAGATAGAAGAGGGATCACTTCATAAAAAAATCTCTTTTTAAAGCATGAAATCACAAAAATGAGCTGAGCAATTTTTTTGGACCTTTTACTGTCAGTCCTCAAGAGCAAAGACTAACGTAGTTACAGCAGCCGACGTCATACCATACATAATATATTTTTCACAGAAAAGGTTTTGGGTTCAGATCAGACATAAAATCTTCCTCAATAATGTCGGAAGATTTGGTCGCATATAAATGAAATAAATTACAAGTATCGCGGAACTTTAGCTCCCCTGAATTGGTACTTTGGGCAAGCCCGTAATCGCTCCGGCAAGCATAAGTTGTAAAGCCATTTTAGTAAAACGTAACATTGCGTCCAAAAATTCTTCAAAAAATTGCTCAACACACCTACATTCATACATACAACATCAATAAATTCATAAAATTTTAAACTTAAAATTTTTCGTTCAGAATTTCCAACATATTTCGCATATCGTAGAGAAAAGATCTCAATTTTTAATTTTGATAACATTTTTGTTTTATACAAAAAAAATTTTAGGTTCTTCATTATACCCCATATACATAGCAAAATCATAATATTCATCTAAGAAAAATCAATTTATACACAAATAATTTGTATGCATATTTTTGACTAAAAGTATTGAAAACAATTTTTATTTACTATAAAAATACTTTTAATTTAAAAATATTTTTTTTTTATTATAAATGTCTGTCTATTTAGCACTTTAGTTAAAAAAATATATTTGCTTTATTAAAATATAATAATATTATTCATAGTTTTATTTTTCATTTAAATAAAAAATATTTTTTTTTTTATTATTTTAAGGGTTTTTAATTGACATTGATATAATTTATATGCTAAAAGTCTAAATATATTTTTTTAATATTGAAAATAACAAAATACCGTTTTATCATACCAAGAGATTAAATATTTCAAATTTTATATATTGAGTTTTTATGCAAAAATTAAGTTTTGAATTAGAAAGATATACAATTTGAGCAGACACTTATTATATCAGTATAAGATTTAAAATACCTTTGTTATAGTATTAATATACTTACAACCAGTCTATTTGGAACCCATATTTATCAAAGAGATTCAGGCTGGCTTATGTGCGAGGGTTTGTGTACTTGCTATATACATATGGCTCTAGTGAGCAGGAATACCATAAATAATATGTTACAAATAATGCAGCATAGAAATCTCGAATTCGTGAAAATATATCGATTAATCGACAGTTTTAATCGATTTTCAATTTTGATATTGGTAAAATTTTTTACATTCATTTGATATGGTATAACTTTATGGTCAAGGCAAATTCTTTATTAATCAAAATTGTTTATTCAAAAATAATCTAGTTTTAATAAATTATGAAATTTTAGTGCGATACTTATCGACACATCATATGGCATAACGAACAGTAAAAATGATTTATTTAAATTTGTCTCAAACTTATTGATTGGAAAAGCGATCATTTTTATATCAACTGATATTGTTTATTTGTGTACCAATACCGATAAAATTTATCGTTTTTAAATTTTTAGTGAAAATTGCATAACATACATCATTTCGCAAATAAATCGATAAATTATCTGGCAAAGCTCGATATTTAATAGTTTGTCAGATATATCAATAATATTTATATTAGCATAATCTAAAAATGCAAACTGAAATATTAATATAACAATATTACAAATATTGATAGTTACTTTTTATGTAATCTAAAAATGCATTCAAACTGAGATGTAATTGTATCGAGTATTTAACGAAAAAATATCGATATTAAATTTTTATCCAAAAATGCGTTCAACAGACATGTTTAAATTGCGATTATTTATTGTAAAAATGTCGATATTTAGTTTTTTGTCAGATTTATCGATAACTTTAATATTAACAAAAACTAAAACTTAATGTACAGCCAGAAAAAAAAATTGAATGCAGTAATTTTTGAACAAAAAATATTCAACTCAATCTTTTTTTAAATCGGTTTCTATGGTATAATCATCATCATCATCAGCAAGATAGAAATATAGACACAGGCCAGTATGAACTCGAAAAATTTGAATTAAAAAAAAACATTACTCAAAACAAAATAATTGTATACATTAATAATGCGAAGGATATTTAACATTTTTTTTTTTTTAAATAAATCTACTTTCTATACTAAGTATTGATAGTCTTTATTTATAGAAATTAAATAGAGCAAATGGCTTAAGAACATTTACGAGTATATGGTGTGCATACATAAAAAAATTGTATAAAATTTAGCTGAAGAAGTACACACTATGTATTTATGTGATATTTGTTAGTAAGTGATGCAAACAGTTAAGAAATGTTCAATATAAATTATTGAAACTATAAGTAATGCATAAACCAGGCATAAATCAAATGAAATGGGTAACATTGTATACGCAAACGAAAATGTTTTCGAGCGTTAGAATTTTTAGAAACGACGCTGAAATGCTGAACGAACGAACACTTTTAATTTAATTACTATTTTTAGTCTAGTAGAATATGTAAGGCTTAGCTTAGTTTTCAATTACTATTACTTAGAAATTAAGTGTGAAAAAATACCAGCTATATATTTGAAGAAAATAAAAATAAAGATAAAACAAAATACAAAATGAAATGCACGCATTTTATTTCATAAACTGAAAAATTGCTGGAGAGCAGGGGGAAGGGAGGGAGGGTAAGTATATAGATGATATACGACTAACTGCTGGAAGAATATGTGCCGTAGTTCGAAGGTTATTTACAACATTTTGCTCCTTTACTGCTATTTTTCCACTCTTCATCTTCAGCATGCCTACCTGTGCCTGCTTCTCCCATTCACCATCCCATCCTTACCGTCTATTTCTCTACCGTGCTCTTTATTACTATCCATCTCTAATAAATAGCACTTTGTATACCTAAGTATTAGTAACTTTGTTGTTTTTGTTGTACAACTATGCCTGCCAATCTTTCATGCAAATCACAAAAGCATACAATTACAAGAAATCCAAGCAGACACACATACACGTACACTAGCTTATGCACAATAACAGGTTATATAGCTGTGGCATATATGTGTAAGTGTGCGAATATGCATTTGCTGTCCACCCGTCAGATATGCCACTTCATCAATTTACAAATACGACCTTGTGAAAATCCTTCAATATGGCCAACAAATACGCTTTGGTTATTGTTATTGCTTTTGTTGTTGTTTTTGCTATCGAACAATCTCAAACTAGGCCGGAAGTAGCGAGCGTGTGTGCGCATGCACATGTATGTGTGTGCTAACAAATCGTACTTTTACAAAGTTGCAAACATGCAATTTTCTTGTTACCAACACACGCGCACACGGACATATGCCGACAGCAATATTGTCGAATATCTATTTACACATGCCATGTGGCAAATTTGCATACAAAAAACGTCTATCAAAACTTGCAAAATTTGAGTGGAAAAAAATTACTTTCGCTTTTTCACTTTCCTCAATGCTCTCGCTTTACCTCGGCTCTCTCGTCTTCCTTATTTTCTCCTCGCCCTTCCATTATGCAGCCAATCTTAGCGTTTTAAAGAATATGCCACAATTTGTGACATGAATGCGCGACATCATATTTGCTCTACTGTGACTTCAATAAGCCTTTCACATACTGTATTCATGTGTATATGTATGTGTGTGTGTGTTTGTCAAGTTGCTTTTGTTCAAGCCAAAGTTGCTCTCATCTGTTTCCTGTGCGCTCTTCTTCCGCTGCACTCCTTGTGAATGCACATCATTTTCCTTTCACAACTTCTTTTGCATTTCAACTTTATAAACGGATTACTTATTGGGGTGACCAGAAGAAATATCAATTTGTGCAATCTTTCCTTTTGCTCGTCTCAACAAATTGACTGCTGCGAGTGCGCTTGTTTGTTGTAAGCGAGTGAAAGAAAATTTCTTTTACAAATTCTTAGTTCCTATACGAAACTAATCGAATTACGTAGAAAATTGCTTGAATGGAAAATTTTGAATTCCTTGAAAGTCGCTTTACGACCTTTTCTATTAAAATGACTTTTGGTAAATATGCTAAACAAGGAACAGCAAAGAGATTCTTTCTAAAGCGTTGCTCAGCTATTATTTCGGTTAATATTTCTCAATATCCGATTAATTTGAAACTTAAAGAATTTTGAGGTTAGGTAATAGTTAGTTAAATACATTTTTAGGAGATATCTTTTTTTGTACGAAAACTATAGTATATCCTTAACCTTTTTGGGTAAAAAGTACGAAGAATTTCGCAAACATTCCGAATCCATCATTAATTCTTTCTTTAAAAAGAAGAAAAAACCCTTAACTTGGGATGCAACGAAGCTATAATAACCTTCACAGGTGGTTTTTTTAAGCACAAAAGGTTATAAAAGATTTTTATTCTGATTTTGATCGGTTATACATGCAAGGACTTGATTCCGATCCTTCAGTTTTTATGACGGCTATATGCTATAGTTGTATGTCGCACAGATAATGCAGTAAAATAAGTCTACCTTTTCGCGATTCGATTGGCTTTTTAGTCTTCGGTTAAAAATAGCTTAAAGCTTCAGGCAACCATTCAGTAAACAGCTTGAATGATATTGCACTGCAAAAATTGAGTTGACGTCAGTTAGCCTAGATAAACATAACCGCCAATCAATCTAGGTATAAGCCGTCCTAGCTTGGTATCCATTGTCATCACTTAAGCAATTTTGATCATTAAAATTAGAAAGCGAACTGTCTTCGTTTTATAACAGCTACCGCTATTAATCTAATCTCGAACAAGATAATAGAGTGGAAGGTAGTGTCTGATCAGCAAAATTAGCTACCAGAATCACTTTCCGATTACCAGTTTGCTTACCAGATTGGCTTCCAAGCAGAAATCACGACAATTAAATAAAGCCTTAAATATATTTATATACAAACATACCTAAGCGGCTTTGAAATCACTAAAGCCTCTAAGGTTTCTTCGCAGATAATGAAAGAATGCCTTGATCTCTTAGTGGATCTAACATCCTATTTCACGATAAACCTGCAATGGATTCCAGAGCACAGTGATATTCCGATATGGCAAACATATGAACTAGCCAGAGCAGGTACCACCATACAATTAAACTCCGATAAAGAGCGAATACATATGTTTCTGGCAATTTTTAGATATATATTTAATCGTCAAGCATGTTATAGAGATATTGGTCAATAAGCAGACAAGCGTAACATAAATTTTATATGGACCATACATGCCGACTATTAAAATTCAAAAGAATGACATAAGAACTCTAGTATAACTGCTAACAGGTCACTGCCTAATATGTAGATATGCTAGCAGACTCAGGATACCATAAAGTATATAGACATAATAGATTGAAAGGATTTCAGTCCCGGTATTTTCACAATGGGTCTTCTAAAGACCCAGGTGCGTCATCAGACATCAACCCTGCCTACCTATTTATCTGCCTACCTTGAGTAGAAATGCTTGGAAAACGTAATATTTCATGCTTCTGAGAGGAAGCCATCTGCTTCATCCCAAATTTCTAACCTCGTTTTTCAAAATTAACCTTAGTCCACCAACTTAAAGGTTGTTCAAAGTTTAAAAGTCCAATGATAATTTTTGCCGATTTCCGCTTAAATGTTGGCTCTTTTATGAGCACCGCATATAAGTTTAACATTTCCGCTATGTTAAGCGCTTAAAAATTTCGCACTCTCACGTCTTCAGCAATCCTTTACTCCCTCTCTTGGAATTTCTTGAACCGAAAATTTTCACTTAATATAAAATATTAATTGAAGGCGATTGTGTGCACTTAAGTGACATTAAAAAGTTGGCAGCGGCAGCAGCGGCGTAGCATCGTGAGTAGCTTGGTGATGACAGTGCAACTACTGGGCCGATTATGTATGGCATGCAACATATTCCTCTTCATGCCACATATTGCGCAATTTACCCACAGAGTTGCTTGTAATTACAACAACAATGAAGCACTAGTAATTTGCAAACAAGCGACTCATTTTACCAACTTTTTTGCTTCGGTTTTTTCGAGTGGCAGTAAGCCAGTAGTTGAAAGACTACCAAAAGTCGCCAAATGCCTGCAGATATACTATCTACAAATTACATAAGTGCAGTGCAGGAAGAAGGTGCAAAATGCTGAAGAAAGCGCAACAATTTGCCACATCAGAGCGTTGAGTAGCAGGCGCAACAATTCGCTGCCGAAAAAAACAAAATTACAACAACAAAATGAGTAGACTTATGCAAGTGTCTGTTGTGTTGCTGTTGGCGTGCGGGTGTATGCAGGCGTTAGCTGCGTCGTTGTCACTTTGAATTTTTGCTGACTTCACTTTTTTCCGCTTTTTTTCAAGTGTTGCAACGACTTTTTGCTGCTTTTGTTGTTGCTGTTTGTTGTCTTTTTTGTTGCTGCTTGCTTTTTTTTTGGCGGTTGCTGTGTTGCATTCGTTGCTTACACCTGAATTGAATTTTAATTAAAATTTACGCGACACCACGGACGGACTGCCTTGCCTCGCTCCAGCCAAACTGCCAGCGAACCCGCAAACATACTTTTGTTTTGTTTTTGTATTTTTCAAAAATATGCGCGTTAGTGTTGTTGCAGCTGTCGATGGCTTGTCGCAATTATCGCTACTGTTGCTGTACTTGTTGCTTGCGCTCGATTGGCGTTGAGGCATTTTAATGTCATGTCAGATGGCAGATATCGTCAAGTGTGTGCGCCGGTGTGTTGCCAGTTGAGTATGCGCAACTCGGCTACCAAAATTTTCAAGTGACCGCAGATATGTATATACATACACGGTATGTAAAAGTAGTTGAAAGTGAGTAACTTTTTGAATTTCGGGATTTCGGTATCAACTTATATTCAGGAATAATATTTTTTGCAGAGCACTAAACCGTATATGTTTTTGTTTTAGTTTTTTCATCTATTATTTTGTAAAAATGTAGCTGCAAATTCGGGATCCCGAAGTGAAAAATATATTTCAGCACTAAATCGGTTACGCAAATAAATTTATTTAATTATAATATAGATATGCCGGCTGTAAATGAAGTTTTAGTTAAGGTTGCAACCACAAAAAAATTATACGAAGCTCGCTCTCTGCAAAGGATTTACTAGGCTTATCAAAGTTATTAAGCAGAGAAGCCAAACTTTGGCTAGCAGTTTAACTTTTCTGAGCGTGAAAGAGCATGGGTGTGTGAGAAAGAGAGAGAAAGAGTAGTAGCTGTAAACAGAACGAACGGATTCAAATGCTTGTAAAAAAGCTTTTTCATTTGACGAGAAATCTTCCAAAAATTTGGCAAGAATAATTTTTCAATACTATGGTATGTATAATCTTAGAACAAATGGTTCAGACCGGACCACAATAGCATATAGCTGCCATACAAACTGACTGTTAGAGGCATTATAGCTTCGGTGCAGCTGACTTTTTGCATGTTTTTTTTAACTCTTTGGCCTCATTTCAATAAGTTTCATATCTTAAAAGAAATTATAAAAAAGTTATGTTAAAATTTAAACTCAAATTCCATGTTATCACACATAAAAATCGGGAACCCGAAATTTCGGTATTACCAACATTAAAGTATCTGTGAAGTGAAGTCAATGTTCGTTCGTTGCAAGTTTGCCAAATTTCAGTGATTTTGTTTTAATTTC